GATTTAAAGTGGTGTGTCTTATATCAACTGCTGTGAGGCTCCCGTGAAATATAAGTGCTACTGCAGACTGAAATGTCATCGTACTTATCAATGCGATTGTTTTGGCGATATTCATGCAGCCATAATTAAACATTTCTAAAACACTGTTCTACCTGAGCTCCTCCTGCTCTTTTTTCCTTTTCTGCTCCTCCTTCTCTCTCCTCTTCTGCTCCTGCAGCTGAGCTTTCTTCTCGTTCCTCTCCTCCCGATCTCTCGATTCCTTCTCTGCTGCCAGATCAGGGAACCGTTCCACTTTTGTTTTCTCCAGACGGTTTATTATCTCGTTGATCTTCTTCTCCACTGCCACGATCTTTACCTGTGAACACAAAGCCAGTTTAGCGAACACATAAAATTGCCTAAATACTATGTAATGTTAGAGTATTACACTGATTGCTGCATAATAATCCATCAGCGTACATGAAGCCAGGTCTGCTGACCTCTTTCTGTCGATAAAAGCCGATCTGTCCAACATCCATGTCTCCTGTTTTCTTCAGGTTGGCCCACGCTGTGTAAACCACATTGATGTTGTTCATCTTACAGCCTGAAAACATGTAACACGTCAAGTTTAACCACATCTGCATACAAAATTCCTCCCAGTAAAAATAACAGCAGACAGAAACTTGTACAAGAGGATCTCTCAGGCCAGCCTGAGTATTTTCTCTTTACCTTGGATGCTGTTGTTTTTCACCAGTTGTGCGCAGTCTATCAGCACCTCTGGTGGGATATCATCAATGGTTTGACCCTAGAAATGAATCACATAATAGTTACATCACTGTCAAATATTTTCCATAGAATTTGTATGTGGAGTGTTGCTGACACAACCAAAAACAGAGAACCGACTGTTATATTTAGTGACAGTTATTCTGAGAATTAGATTCTTAATAAATTGCCAGTTCCGAGAAAAAACTCAGGAGTGTGAACTCTTATTTAAAAGTCTGTTTTTCAGGGTCATTCTCATTGGGCGAGCTTATGCTTACCTTTGGCATTCTCAGATATACATGAGCTGAGGACAGTTTGTCCACGTGAAACCTGGATGTAGGGAAAAGGAGAAGGTTTAAATGACAGGATGCCATAAAGTATAATTTTAACAAGAAAAACTGTAACAAATTATACACAGAAGAAAAAATTTATTAATTTCAAAGGCAAGGAACAAATAATTCTAAAAAGAATCTACAATTATAGTTAAATGGAAATAAAAATATTAATAAAAAAAATGAAAGTCATCTATTTTTAACTACGAATCGGTTTTAAAGAGAGAGATATTAGCAGTGATGGGAATAACGGCGTTACTTTTTCAGTAACGAGTAATCTAACTAATTACTATTCCTATTGTTACAACGCCGTTACCGTTACTAAGAAGAAAATGCGGTCCGTTACTATTTTCAACAAACAGACGGTTGAAGCTGTGTTCAGCTTACTGCATCTTATATCAGTTGCACGGAAGTAGCTGTAAGTAATCTGGACGCTACAGCTTTAAGCAGCTGCACGCTCCCGCGGACGATAATCACGATCACTGTCTAGCACAACACCTGGAGCTAAGGGGCAAAAACAATCGCATGAGTGCTGCTGTTTGACTGAGGAAGAATACAGTAGTCGTGGTAAGCCAATCACATGACCACTTCAAGATGACGAAGCAACAAGGTGACATATATAAGTTTTTAAACTGTGTTGATAGGCCACGTAAAACCAGAGTCATGATAAACAATATATAGGCATGTTTTTTCCTGAGTAGTTTTGTCACGTTTACTGTCTAAGGACAGCGCTAGCAAGCACTCTCTGCTTATGCAGACATCAGCATAAGCAGAGAGTAACAAAAACCACAAAAAAAACAGGGGAAGTTTTAGGAGTGACAGCGAGAGAGAGAGTGAGAGAGCAGAAAAAGAGAGAGAGAGTTTTGAGATGTGAGAGATTTGTGACGTTTAGCGTGTTTGGAGTGTGTAGTTAATGTGTTGTCTTGTGTAGTTAATGTGTAGTGTTGTGGATAGTTTTGTGTTGTGTGTGCGATTGCTGTCTCCATGTAAAAAACAGGAGTGATACACTTGCTGCTGTCAGACCTGCAGGTATCAGGCCGTGATGTTTTCCTTTATAGTGGACAGAAATTATCTTTTTGGAATGGCACAAATCATTTGTGTGGCATCTTATTGAAGAACAGCTGATTGTTCTGTAAATAGTTTGAAATGGTTATTTAAAAAAGGGGTAAAAGGTACCGGTAAATGGATGCAAATAACTTTGTTGTTTGCAAAACTTGTGCATAGGATTTTAAAATTGACAATTTATATTTGCATTTAAAGTTATGAAATATGATTCATTAAACATGTTTGTGGTTGTTACAGTAAAAATATAACTTTTTCTACTCTGATTTTATGCTTTTTGTCTGATTTTAGATCAATTGTGTTAATACAGTATGTCAAAATGAAAACATGACTGTAAATTCAGACACGTGAGGTTGTGCTGAAAAGAATGATACCAAACAAGGCAAAGTAAATAGTTTGTAAAGGGAAAATCAAAAGTAGTTAAAAATGGCCAATTATACCCTGGACCCCAGAGGGTTAAACGTTTTTTTAAAGTAACGCAAAAGTTACTTTTCAAGTAATTAATCACTTTTAGAATATTGTAACTCAGTTACTAACTCGGTTACTTGAAGAAGTAACTAGTAACTATAATTAATTACTTTTTCAACGTAGCTTACCCAACACTGGAAATTGGTAATACAGAAAATCCAAAGCACTTGTTTAAATGCTGAATAATTGCAAATAATTCTTGGTGCATTTTTTTTAAAATTTAATTCAACCCTTCATCGTTTGGCTCTCACTTCAGGGGTCATCACAGCAGATCATCTGCCTCTATCGCATGCTCTGCCTCCATAAACCTTCTGTGTGGTCTTCCTCTCTTTTGGCATTTCAGTATTTCCACTTTCCCCTGCTGTACGTGTCCAAACCATCAAGCTCTCGCACTCGCGGTCTAGTCCCTCCATTTAAAGCCTCTACTCTCTAAACTCCTACATTCTGTCTCCCTACCGCCAATCAGGCCTTCATCCTCTCTTTCTCTGTTTTTGGCAGAAGTACTGTTTTCACCAGCATCCTACGGGTCAAGAGTATGGAAATCTCGTTCTTGTTCATCTGCTATTTATGTGAAAAGGACCATCTCTAAACTGACTGAAATTGCTGCATCCACCTGACCAGAATCAACTTTCTGGGATGTGAATATTTGGCATGGAAAACATTTTATTCTAATTTCAACCCTAAATTACAAAAGTAAACTAACATGAATTTGTCATGCCTACATTAACGGACTGCACTTTAATGTTTCTACTGTTATAAACTCACTCAATGTTTACATCGACCGTTCAATACATTCTTACAAATGGTGCTTAAAGTTAATTCCATAATCATCAATGTGTCTTAGTGTTAAGACACATTTATCTATGATTCTAGGAACCACGTACTTTTATTGCTCATCTCAGTTTCTTTAAAAATTCCAGCTGCAGAAAATTCAGGTTATTTCAGAGTTCAGATAAAGAATCTCACCAGATATCTTCGGGCCATCCATACTTGATAAGATCCTCATCTGTAGGCATGAAACAGCCTCGAGTTAAAAGGTGATAAGATTCAATAAGAGATTTATTACCGGTGTTTAAGCAACAAAGTAACACAGGAATGAACAGATATAGCACACATCGGAGGAAGGTAGAGAAGGGCGTGAGTGCGCGATCAAAGGACAGCTCTCTTACTTTCATATTTGTCTTTTCCCATGTAGATCGTGAAAGAAGGGCCCACCACTAAAAATTAGACAGGAAGTGGGTCGTTACTGAGTGAAACTGCAAAATCACCTGGCACGAAACTCGTGAAAGACACTAAACAGCTGTAAGGAGTGCGAAGCTAACCAGGCTAACAGCTAATGGCAGCTCAACTTACCGGCGCTTGTGAAGTAAAACACCATTTTACGTGGATTAAAAATCGCCACTAAAAAGATGAACAATGTGTGTTTTAACTTTGGGCTCTAAACCGCTGACTGTGAAGAAAGACAAATTTCATCTGCAGTAAGACCTGCTGCCGTTCGCGTGTACAAAATGACCTGGGAAGCTGTTACCTAACTGAGGGAAAGTAGCGTGTAGCGCAAAGGAAACAGCGAAATTTACCTTCAAAACAAAAGCCGAAGGTCTACATCGATAGATAAAATTAATAAATGCTGATTCGTTTTGAGTTAATTTATGTTTTTATATAATCCTCATCGAATTTTTTCCATTAGTAAATTGAATTTTATCTCATAATTTTTATGAGTGGCTTTTTTCTTACATGAAGATGTTTTATTTTGAAGGCTAGAACTAGAAGTTTCTCTCTGCTTTTACTACGTTTCCCGTGTGGTAGCTGTTTCCGTTTCCTGTTACGGTGTAGGGTTTTTTTTCCGACACTGGCGCGCGCTGTTCAAAACATAAAGAAGAAACGCGCGCGAGCCGTAGAGGTAGGAGACCGCCAGCGACTCAAATATATATATATACAGATATACAAACATTTATTGGTTTATGTAGCTCAAGAGAAACATACTTGGTAAGGAAAACGAAGAGTTGTATTTTTGTGTTTTATCTCATAATTGGGGTACATTAGTTTTAAGTACCGCGACTCTAATAAAGGTTTCCAAGGCAGTCAGAACTAGCTTATGTTTAATGCTTAATTTATTCACCTTTTAAATCACAAACAAATGCACGTATCCAGTTGAAGTGTGCACAACTCGTGATCGATATGAAAAATGCCCGTTGTTTTGTAATGGAGACCGTGCTGCCTTTGCATAAGCCAATAGTCCCGCCAATTATCTCTTCGCCTCCGTCTGGTGCCCTTAAATGACCGCGTCGTTAGCTAACATGTACCGTCGAGCTAAAGCTGCTTTCGAGATTATTCGTTTTTCCTCACAACGAAATGACAGTAAGGGGACCTTTAGGCTCTGTCTCATATCGAGATTCATAATCAGCATCCTAATTGATCATTAAACTCATAGGTCGTGGGCTGTTGTTTACCTGCCACAGTCACACCAGACCCTTGTAGAAAATCTCCTGATTTAACGCCATGGACATGAAATATATCTTGAAGCTGCATTTGTGTCAGTGACCCTTCTGCAGTGAGTATTACTTTCAACGGCGGATTTGTGACCCAGATATCCTACGATTTGCAAAAAGATGTCTGCATGAATAATATGGTACAGCTGATTTGCAGCTGGTGTTCTACTAGGCAACAGATCTCGTTTGGTTCTTTTTGAAATAAGATGCAGTGTTACTTTTGATTCATCTTCATTTTTGAGTAATTAATGTAGATTAAAGCATCTCTTTATTTTCTTTTACATCCAGGTTGATTATGAATTTTTAAAAAATTATTTTATTTTTTTTGTATTAGGAGTGACTTTTCAGATCGATGGTCTTTTTTTCAAAGCTGAAATTCTTAAACTTTCTTTTTCTTTTCTTTTTCATTTTATTTCATTACCTTTGTATGAAGATGATGCCCACCACAACCAGAAAGAGAAAGCAGTCCTCCCTGGACTCTGATAGGTAAGCTGTGTATATGCTGTTTGGCTTGCTGATTTACTCTTGAAATGTACTCTGTGTTGGACTTATACTCTCAGATGTAAGAGAATAGTCTCAGTTGTGCTACAGTCGAGAGATTATGGAAGCTCATGTTTAATACTACGACAAATTTAGAATTGGGTTCCTGCTATAATGAGACTGACACTAATGGGGCAAAATTGCTTTTACAACTCAGGCTTGAGTGAGAAGTGGGGGTAACCTTGCAACAGGTTGCCATAGGGCTAACGGTGATTCATAACAACCCCACATAGTCCTGCATTTACGGCCATTTAGAATGACCAGTTAGCCGAACATGCATATCTTTGGATTGTGGGAGGAAACTGGAGAATATGAAAACTACATGCAGAAAAACCTGATTTCACCAAAAGGTTCAAACCTAAAAGCTGCCTGTTTTCAGGCAGTAGTATCATCTGCTCTGTAACCTCAGTAAACACTTTCCTGACAAGTTTATGGGCTCAAACGTGCCAGTTACAAGTTATTGGCCAATTCACCCATCGCTTGTCTCATCTGTTTTGTTTCTCAAACATCAGGCACCCAGCCAAGAAGGGGGTGAGGCAGGAGTTGTCACCTGTGAAGAGGAGGTCTCCAAGAACGCCCCAGCAGTCTCCTACCAGGAAGAAGCCAGCTGGCTGTCTGGACACCTCCCCACAGAAATCTCATCGCAGACCAGCAGGTGGGATGGACTAAACATGTTTTGTTGCAATAGAAATGCTTTTGTAATTTTTAATTGTTCAAACAACAATGCAAACAACAATGGTTTTTCCTCGTACATTTATAATAATTTGGATTTATTATCTATTATCTATTTATATTATATTTTTAATTAATTTATTTTTAAAGGCTCTCCAGCTAGATCACCCCAAAAATCTCCATTCAAACCTTCCTTGGTCACGAGCTCCTTCTATGGCAAAAAGAATCCAGTCTATCTCACTCCACTTGAGAGGAAAGCTCTGAAGGACTCTCTGCCTTGTCCAGCTGCTCCACCCTCTCCTACTATGACCCAAAAGCCAGAAAAGAAGACAACAAAGAACATTAAGGGAGGCAGTAAGCCAAGAAAAGTAGCAGGATCTAGTAAAGGGGGGAAGATGGGTACCAAAAGCTACTCAACATCAATAAAGAGGATCAAGCTGTCCCAACCCAAACCCAGCAGCAGGTTTGTCATAGCTGTTGATACTTCTGAAGCCTTCTTCAAACAGCTGTTGTTTTAGTTGGTCTTTTAAGGTTGTTCTAATTCTCCCTATTTAATTCAGCAGTGTCGCTAAACCGACTCATCCTCCTACCGTTACACCTAGCAACAATCCCACAGAGTCCAAGAAAGCAATCACCATCACATTCAGCAACCTGAAGCCTAAGCCGAAGATATTTGTTGGAGCTGCTTTCTTCGGTACAGGGAAGAAACCTACATCCATGTACAAGAAAACTGCGCCAAAGTCTTCAACCAGGCCGTCTGCAGCTGTCCTACCACAGACAAAGGGCAAAGAATCAAAGCAGCCGCAGGGTGCTCTGGCAGAAAACCAACAGCAGAAAGAACCTGAAAAGGTTTGTGTACATTTACGTATTACTGGAATATCTCATCTCTTGAGATTCTCTTTTCTTAAAATCGTGAAAAGGTTTCTATATCCCAGAAACAAACTACACTGGAGTAATTTTTACCTTTACCTTTTACCTTGACTCTTAAAGAAAAGAGTAACTTTCTTCAGGCTCTTGCGCACAATTTCAATTAATAAAATGTCGCTTGATGTCATGGAGAATGTTGAGGTTTCAGAGGGATACTTACAGCCTAGTTTGGTGTACAGTGAAATGAAACAGAAATCTTGTAGATGTTGGAGTGTGATGGGAAACGGGTTCATTTTTTACATCTGATAATAAGTTAATGATGATTTTAAAGGTTTTTCCATGCAATGGTGTCTGCCATTTGATATGTTAAATAAATTAATTATGTTTTTCCCCTCCATGGCAAATATTGTCATGTTAATGGTAATATTTAATCCTGGTTGTTTCCTGCAGACTGCCGTCAAGCCGCTGAGGACGTATGAGAACAAACCAAGCACAAAACAGAGAATGAAGTTTGATCCAACAGACTGGATGGACTCCGTTAATGAAGAGCCTGCAACTCCACAGCCATCAAGGTACTGATGTATTAAACGTACCATTGACTTCATTTTTCGTTTTAGAAATGAAACTTCCCTTATTATTCATTTATTTATTTTTTAATTCATGGCATATTTAACAATCTGAATTTCCAACACAGATCTCTGATATTTGCACTTTATCAATGCCCCAAGACTGATGTTCAGTGATAAACTGTTAATCGTCTTCCTTCCTCAGCTCCTCTAAAATTGGGCTGGATAAACACGGGATTACTCACGAGCTCATGGTTACGTTGTTGAGATCTCCAACACAACACAGCTCCACATCTCCAGCCTCCTCATTCAGTCAGGTACATGGGTGTCCAAAAGGCTGTTGTTTATAATGTAAATGGTACTTTGATAGTTTTTCTACTACTACTGAGCATTAAAAGTGCTGTGAGAGTATTACACGTGCTTGCAGACACTAAAACGAGTAGTCGCTCCTATTATCCTTCTATGAGGCTTGCCTGAGGGCCGGTGTGTTGCTGTGTAGTGTCACTCAAAATGTCAAGACTCCAGCAGACGCTGAAACTGTAACATGCCTTTACCGAAATTAAGAGGATGAAACTCCTCTTTAGTTATGAATGGCATCTGTTTCTGGCCGTTTTTATAATGTAATTGTAAAACAATCAGAAATTTTCTCTGATTTCCCCCTTTTGTTTATGCAAACACCGATCCCTTCCTTGCTCATTCTCTATGTGATGCAAAATCTGTCAGGACTTAATCGATGGGGTAATAATGCCAAAAAAACCCGCTTGTGATGGTTACATTTCTGCCTTTGATGTTTTAGCTCTTTTTCCATTTGTTCTGCTACTGTTTATGTGGTTTCTGCTGGGTTGTCAGGTTTGTCTTCTGAGTTTAACCAACTAGGAATTTCCCAGGGTGGCTCAGAGGTACTTATCCCAGAATAGATATTATTTCCGCCCCAGAGATGATCCTGCACCTTCACCGTGGCAAAATGTTGTTGTTGTTTTGTTTTGCTTTTGTAGTTGACTCATGATCACTTAAATTTTTTAATGACTCTGTTAACTTGAATTGATGTTTTCAGCATACTCCTACAACAGAAGGTGGCTCTGAGCCAGCCTTTGAGCTGAGTTACATAAGCCCCACCAGCACTAACTCCAGCTCTCCCAAAGGTGAGCAAATACTTTATTAGATCCCTCAACTCAGGCATAGAGTGGCATAAATAAATCCTGGAGATGTTCAGTTTTACTCAGTCGTGCTTCCATTTGTTAATGTTGAAGTTTTGTTTTTTTTTTCCTCCAGAGCCCGCAGCAGTCTATCCCATATTTGGTTCTGCCTCTAAAAGGTAAGATGGTTTGTTTAGAGTTCAACATTTAAAGATGGCATTTCTGTACAATAAATGCAGTGTGTTTAGTTTTTAGAGGAACAATTACTGAA